CCCGATCGGAGGGGGGGGGCATGGGTGGTCCAAAAATCGCTCTCTAGGAACTTACCTGTGAATCGGGCATTGGTAACTTTATATGAAGGGCCACAAGAAATTACGTTTGCAGTCCCTTAAATGGGCACCCTTAAGTTACTTCTGACCTAAAACTAACCTTAAGTTGCGCTGAATCTCCTCTTCTACAGCACAACGCATGATAATTTACCGTCTCCGCTCTTTCATAATCAAAATTCATCTAAAAACGCATTTGATCTCCTTTAATAACAGAAAAAATATTATTCTTTAGAATTAGATTTAATTGGCAACTTTAGTCAACATGTATATTTATTTCTAACCATAATAAATGCATAATTAATTAAATACATTGCTTAAATCTAGTCTAAAGGCGGCGCGAACGGCGAATCAAACATTAGCACAACTGCCCCGTATTTTTACTTAATTATTAGACCTAATTGTGAATACGACTTCAAAGACGACATTTTAAAATGTTGTGAACAAAAATGGGCAAAGGTTAGAAGGTGTGTTGACTGGTGGTGGTTTCCCCTTAGAAAGTACAGGGTGTCCCCTATGACCCCTATCATATTAGACTATTTACGGACTCTTATTTTCTGGAAGATGACATTAATAAATCGTATTTACAGATAAAAGTTTGAAACACTGAAACTTTTATGTATACAGTGGCGTAAATAAGGGGGGAATTATTGAGGTTACCCCCCCCCCCCCTGGAATCTTTGGGACACAAACATCCCGGTGTAGTAGCTTTTTCTCCATTCTCCATGTCCATGATTACCATTAAAAGGAAAAATGTAAACAAATTTTGGCGCTTCGCGCAGATAATCTTACTCAATCAACTTAAAAAAAGTAACATAGATAAATTTTACCCAAAAATCGAGTTTTTTAATGCAGTAGCGTACTTTAAGTATAAATTAAATTAAGAATAAAATGTTAAAAGATCAAGATTATTAAGAATATAATTGTAAAAAGTAAGATTTTTTCCTTTTAATAAAGTGAAATTAACATATATACCATCGTAAATTGACGACAAGAAAATTTTAGAAATTAGAAATTAGAATTTAAACAAATGCAATAATTTTTCAAAGTTTTACAGAGTAGCTTTTCTAAAGATTTAAAAAGTTACATCTTTTTCCTCTCTAAAACTATTTTTATGTAACTTAAAATAAATTCAGTTTCTTACAGATCTTTGTTGTTAATGTAAAACGAATGACTATAATGAAGGATATAAAACAAGGTGAAAGCTGAAAGACGTAGGAAATGAAGCCTTTATTTTATGGAGTTTGTAAATGCCAGAAATGACTGGAAAATGCAAGTGCAAATGAAACCAAACTAAAACCAATAATTTGATATACATCATGATATTTTTCTAGGGGGGGGNCCCCCCCCCCTACAGAATCCTTATTTACGCCCCTGCATGAATATCTAGCAGACAATGAAATAAACACAAACATGCAAGGGAACCCTAGCAGGACACATTCATTCTTCAATTATTGGCTCTTCGCGTGATTTTTTTTTCAAATTTTACCTTAGTATTTCCCTTTTATCTGAAATCTCCGGCCCCCCTACACTTGATAAACACTTAAAATTATATGCATTATTCAAGTGTTTGGAAAGTCTTCAGGAGACGATGCTATATCGACGTTTGCACTATAATGTCCGATTGAACGTACTTTTGCACTAAACAGCTGATCAGTAACCGGTTTTTAGTACGATCGAAAAAATTAGTGCAAATGAACAAAAATCGGATTTTCTGTGTTCAATTGGACTTAAATTTTATTTTCCCGCTAGGAATATTTTATTTTCGCGCCAGGAATATTTCAGTGATCATTAGTGCAATTTCATCTGGAAGACTGGAATACTTAAAATATTTGTTCAAGCCCACTAATTTTTTCTGTAATTATTAGTGCAATTGAACGTTAGTGCAAATGAACATGTCCAAAAAAATGTGTTCAAATGGACTAATTTTTCTTTTCTGTAAATATTGGGCAAATGGTGAAATTTTAGATTTTAGTTAGATTGAACATTTTTTTGTTCATTTGCCCTAAAATATGTTCATTTGTATGCTAATAATATTTAATGGGCAAATGGTAAAATTTTAGATTTTAGTTCGATTGAACATTTTTTTGTTCATTTGCTGCACAAAAATATGTTCATTTGTTAATATTTTATGGGCAAATGGTAAAATTTTAGATTTCAGTTCGATTGAACATTTTTTGTTCATTTGCACTATTATATGTTCATTAGTATACTAACATCGATTTTACTGGAACTTTTAGCTTTTATAGTTCAATTGAACATTTTTTGTTCATTTCCACTATACATGTTACTGGAACTAATTAATTAACTGAACCGAATTCCGCTAGAATTTTAAAAAATAGTTGTCCACGTGCTCAAAAAACCTTCCACGTGGTTTTTAGTTTGATTGAACAATCAGTTGTTCAGTCGCACTAAACGTATAGTCCGAATGAACGTTAGTGCGAATGTACGTTAGTCCGATCAATCATTATAGTGCAAACGATACGACACCCAGGAGACTATAACGGTGAATCACTTACATTGATTTTTGTCTAGTCCATTGTTACAGACATTTAATGTTATATATTTATCAAAAACTCACAGAATGTTTTTGAAAATGTTTTTGGTTGATATTAAAGAATCATCCTTTTCGGGTATTATACCATGGTAATTACCATGGTATAACTGGAGAACTCTTTATAATAAAATTATTGTTTATTAAATCGAAAAATTGATTCATTCATTAGAACTATTTTAAAATGACCTGCAAACATAAATTCTTGAAGGAAAAGTGGAAAATTTTTTTTAAAAATCTTGATTTTTTTCAATCAGTTTTTTAAATTCCATCCCATTTATATTATTTGTGAACATTTTCTCTTTGAATAAATTGTAAAACAAAACCAACATAAAGTTCGCGGAACTTTTAAAAAATTT